TTGGTGCCAAACATGTAACCCTCATCAAACAATACAATGGACAAGCAGCAATAAAGATGTCGATGATTGTATCAAAGAATTTCAACTTAAAGCTACAAAATACGAAGATGTAATCGAATGGATTCCTTTTAATAGATTAACAGATATTCAAAAGATTGGTGATAGATTTTTAGCAACCTGGTTAGATGGAATACGTTATATATGTGGAGATGATGAAGATTATGAGGAAGATTATGAGGAATATACACAATTAAGAACACCACCATATAATGTGAAACTTAAAGCATTAACTAGATCACCAAATTTATTAGACATATTAAAAGAAGTAAGTTAAAATATTTTAAATTATTATGGTTGACAGCATATAACTATATTTTTTAATTTATATTTACATTTTGTAACAAGTTTAAAGATTATATACAGTTAAAAAATAGCGGTCTTAAAACATATGGACTAACTCAAAACTTTACAACCAATGATTACATGCTAGTATTTGATGAACTTTGTTATAAAAGAGATAAAAGTAATGGAAAATGCGCAAATTGCAATCAATATAACACATCAAAAGCTTGGTGCCAAGCATGTGATTCTAAGAAAATAATACAAGGATGGACAAGTGGCAATGAAGATGTTGATGATTGTATTAAAGAACTTCAACTTAAAGCCACAGAATACGAAGATGTTATTGAATGGATTCCTTTTAATAGATTAGTAAATATTCAAAAAATTTGTGATGGATTTTTAGCAACCTGGTTAGATGGAATGCGATACATTGATAATAAATATTATGAATATAAAAGTTATTATGAACAGTCACGTAAACCATCATGCGAAATGGAACTTAAAGAATTAACTAGATCAAATATATTAAAAGAAGTAAGTTAAAGTTTTTAAATTATCATAATTGCATTGTATACAATTTGAGGTTGCTATTTATCACCACTGGTGATCATCACCAGTATTCTATATCTCAAAAACGGGACTGAGAAACAGGGGTCAGGTGTGCTAAGTAAAACTGTTCAGAACCCCAAAACCTTGTGTAACAAAATTTGGTCTCTTTTAGTTTTAAAACTGCACACTAACCCCTAAAATTATATGTGGTGATAAAAGCCACTGGCTATATGAAGTAATTTTCATAAAATTTTATTCTTTATTTTAATTTATATTTTTAATAGTTTACAAATTATATACAATTAAAGAATAGCGGTCTTAAAGTATATGGACTAACTCAAAGCACAATAACGAATGAATATATGATGGTGTTTAAATCTGATAATAAAAATGATAACAATTATGGAAAATGCACAAATTGCAACCAATATAACACATCAAAAGCTTGGTGTCAAAGATGTGACCCTCAGAAAATAATACAAGAATGGACAAGCGGCAATAAAGATGTTGAAGATTGTATTAAAGAAATTCAACTTAAAGCTATAAAATACGAAGATTTAATCGAATGGATTCCCTTTAATAGATTAAATAATATTCAAAAGATTGGTAATAGATTTTTAGCAACCTGGTTGGATGGAATACGATATGTAAATCATGTTAAGTATGGTGAATATACACAATCACGTATATCAAAATGTAAAGTGGAACTTAAAGCATTAATTAAATCACCAAATTTATTAGATATGTTAAAAGAAGTAAGACGAATATTTATATTGCTATTGTATTGTACTATTTGTATTAAGTTATTTTAATTCATATTTTTATTTAATAAGTTTGTAGATTATATACAATTAAAGAATAGCAGTTTAAAAGTGTATGGGCTAACTCAAAGCACTATAACGAATGAATATATGATGGTATTTGATGATTTTAGTTCGGAAAGAAATGAAGAAAATGGAAAATGTGCAAATTGTAAACGTTATAACACATCACCAGCTTGGTGTCGGACATGCGATCCTTATAAAACAACACAAGAATGGACAAGTAGAAATAAAAATATCGATGATTGCATTAAAGAATTTCAACTTAAAGCTACAGAATACGAAGATATAATAGAATGGATTCCTTTTAATAGATTAAAAGATATTCAAAAAATTGGTAATAGGATTTTTGCAGCCTGGTTAGATGGAATACGATATGTTTATATATACAATCGAACTTATATGCGGTCACGTGCGTCCTCCTACGTGGAGCTTAAAGTATTAACTAGATCACCAAATTTACTGGATACAATAAACGAAGTAAGTTAAATATTTTATGTACGTACGTACGTACGTACGTAAATTATTGTTGCACAGTCTATTTATTTATATTTATTTATATTTACATTTTAAATAAGTTCACAGATTATATACAATTAAAGAATAGCAGTTTTAAAGTATATGGACTAACTCAAAGCACAATAACGAATGAATATATAATAATATTTGGGTTTGGTTATAAAAGACATTACAGAAATGGAATATGTGCAAATTGCAACCGATATAACACATCGTCAGCCTGGTGTCAAACATGTGACCCTCATGAAACAATACAAGAATGGACAAGTGGCAATAAAGATATTGATGATTGTATTAAAGAAATCCAACTTAAAGCTACAAAATACGACGATGTAATCGAATGGATTCCTTTTAATAGATTAACAGATATTCAAAAGATTGGTGATAGATTTTTAGCAACCTGGTTGGATGGAATACGATATGTAAATTATGTTAATTATAAATATACACAATCACGTATATCAAAATGTAAAGTGGAGCTTAAAACATTAACTGGATCATCAAATTTATTAGATATGTTAAAAGACGTAAGTTAGAATATTTATATTGTTATTTTACTGTATCTATGGTATATTCCTATTTTAATTTATATCTTTTATATTTATAAATATTTAATAAGTTTGTAGATTATATACAATTTAAGAATAACGGTCTTAAAGTATGTGGACTAACTCGAAGCATAATAACAAATGAATATATGATGGTATTTGATTCTGGTTCTAAAAGAACTGAAGAGAAAAATTATCGGAATGGAATATGTGCAAATTGTAACTTATTTAACACATCTAAAGCTTGGTGCCAGAGATGTGAACCTCTAAAAACGATGCAAGGGTGGACAAGTGGAAATAAGAATGTCGATGATTTTATTAAAAAATTCCAGCTCGATGCTACAAAATATGAAGATGTAATTGAATACATCCCTTTTGATAGATTAAATAACGTTCAAAAGATTGGTGAAGGGGGGTTTGGCTCAGTGTTTTCAGCAACGTGGTTAGATGGTAAAAGAATAGTTTTAGTTAAAGATGATGAATACGTACAATCACGTACACCATCATGTGTAGTTGCACTTAAGACATTACCTGGTTCACGAAAGAATTTTTTAAGAGAAGTAAGCTAAAAATAATTTATTCGTGATTTTATATAAATAAATTATTAATAAATTTTATATAATTTTTATTTCATTTATTTAACAAGTTCGAAAGTTATATGCAATTTAAACTTGTAGGCAATAATCTCGAGGTATATGGAATAACTCAAAATACAGCTAATAATGAATATTTAATGGTATTTCAATATGCAAATAAGGGAAGTCTTCATAAGTTCTTATTATCAAATTTTGGAGAACTTAATTGGAAAAGTAAATTAAAGCAACTTATTGATATATCAGAAATTTTAAGAAAAGTACACGAAGCAGAATATGTTCATGGAGATTTTCATAGCGGTAATATATTGCAAAATCAATATATTAATGGTGACCTAATATCTTATATCGCAGATCTAGGATTATCTAGAAAGAAAGACGAATCAGATTTAGAGAATAATATTTACGGTGTTTTACCTTATGTCGCTCCGGAAGTGTTAGCTAAGCGACCATATACCATAACAGCAGACATTTATAGTTTTGGTATTATTATGACTGAAATGTCTACAGGACGGCCACCACACTACGAAATTGAGTATGATGAAGCGTTGGCTATTAAAATATGTTATGGATTACGTCCTGAATTTGCTAAAGGCACACCTGAATGCTATATCCAATTAGCAAGCAAATGTATGGATGCTAACCTTTTTAGTAGACCAATTGCGTCTTATATCTATGATGAATTATCAAGATGGCATGATATAATATCTAGTAGTGCTGCAAAAGATCAAACCGAATTAACGATATTAAAAGCATTCCAAGCTGCGGATGCAATTATTCCGACATTATCAACCGAATTGTCGGTTTGTTCTAAGGATAAACTTACAAGTAAACTGCTTAACTTTAAAAATCTTTCTGATCCAATTAATTCATTGTTAAACGTTCATGGTAGATAATTACACTTTATATATCTGGTTTTGAATTAATCGGAATAGAGTTTTAATTAAACTTTAATTTTAGGTTCTAAAGAATGTGATTTTTCAATTCCTGATGACTAATATAATTCACGTGTGTATTTAATAAAATTTAAATTACCAACATATAAACATGCTTATTAATCTATAAATACTTTTTATAGCTAATAAAAATATAATATCACGAATAGAGTAAGTAAATTATCTAATGGTATATATGTTGCTTGTTTAGTTACTCTTGAACTTATTTTATTTTATAAAATTAAAACTAGAGTTTATTAAGTTATTTTTAAAAGATAAATATTTAAAATCAATGTTTATTAAAGAAAATAGCTGTTTAAAAAATTGATTGGGTAAATTATGTTGAATATTTCTTGAAGATTGATAAATATTTCCAAATATCAATTTACTATTTTAAAACTTTTGAACTAATTAAAAAAGTTTTTTATTTTTTATAAAACATGTATTAAACTTCATTATTCTTAGGTCTTGGTTTAGAATAAAAAAGTTTTATTATTTTGAATATTTTTAATAGCAATATTATTATTTTTAATTAGTTTCTAAACAATAATGTAATAGTAATAAGTTAATTTAATTTGAATATATGGGACCCTTCGTAGCATTGGGACAATCATGATTGTGAGAAATTGCAATTTAAAATTGTCACAACATTAATATTAATATAGTATTATTTTTTTGTTCGATTGAGCATCAATGTTCTTTCAATGTGATCGTATGATTTCAAAAGAACCTAAGAGCGTGAAATTAAATCTCATATACAATCTTTAATAACTGGTTCAAAAAAATAAACATCAAGTATATAAAATTAGCATGTCAGTAATTATACGGGTGTTGATAGCTTTGCAGTGGATCAAACTACTAAGATAGATATGCAGCCACATTATGAACTTATTCGATCTTTGAGTAAAGAGAGATCGAACATTAATCGGATCGTATGTTAGAACATGATGAGATTCATGTAGATAAAATTGTTTCATTATTGTTCGATTTCTTTGATTATGAGGACCGAAGATTTTATGAATTATATCAAGATGAAGATTCGGAGAATGATAAACTGGATAAGTTGTATTTGGATTTTATAAAAGAGGTTTGGAGATTGAGCAAGAAGGTGGTTATTCATAAAATGGCCAAGTTATTTAATGTTGATCGTTATGCTTTGTCTTCGTGATATATGGTGAAGTCAAAAGTAGATTTGGACGAAACTGGTTGGTGTCGGTTACGATTATTCATTGCCAATTTGCTAAATACTGAGATGATTTTTTATTTTTGAGCTATATATCATTCTTTCTACTTATAAGATGGGATGAACTGAATTTAATTCTGAACAACTTTAATTAATAGCTCAAAAATAAAAAATCATCTTACTATTTAGAAATTGGGCTATGAATAATCGTAACCGTTCGTAACCGAACCCATCCCTAACAGTCGATCAATATGTCACGCAGATCATGTGAATAAATTTTTTACTATGAAAATTGAATGATCGACACTCATATGAAATTCTCAATTTTTATAGTAAACTAGTGCGTTGGGTGGCGCTTCGCGCCACCCGCCTTATTTAATAGAAATCAGTTTTTTTAGTTGCTTAATTAGTTGATTATTTGATTGTAAAGTTTGATATTTTTTTGAAAATTTATGGTTTTAGGTTTTTATTATTATTTAATATTTTTATTAAGTCTTGTTTATTGTGTATACTTAATTTTTAGT